AAGAGGGAGATGGAAGATACGTTGAAAGGAACGCTGTCCCCCAATTTTCCAAGTACGATGAAAACTTTGAATCCACAGACCCAATAAGATCATAACCCCCAAGCACAAGACACATGAAGAAAACGGCACCGACTCATAACCAAATTCCCCAAACCCAGTGATATAGAGGCATCTTAAACCCGGGAGGGCACATGGATACACAGATGCTCAAAGTTTACAGGAAATTCTTGCTCATTCACGAACCTCAGGTTAAGAGCTTCCTCATTTAGCTCCCGAAGGTGAAGTCGTGGGGATAGGTGTGTGTTGAGGGTGAGGTGACAGATCATACTGTGCCCCAGTTGTTAAAGTCTGATGGCTGCCACCGTGGAATTCCCTGTGTGCTGAGATTCCTGAGACCGTGCATTTCCGAGTATTATCCTGGGGTTGGTGGTGTCGAGTGATGGATGGAGCGCCACGGACCGGACCAGTTTATAGGCTCCTTGGCAAACGTGTCTTCTGGGGGCATCAACTATTCACCGTTACACAGCAATTTGGATTTTTTATATGGCTGACCAGGCATGCAATGCACACACAATATAAAAGACTCGTATTTTTATTCTGCTCTGGGGTTTGGTGCTTTAGAACCAGAGCCAGCCAGTAGAACCAAGCTTTCCTCTAGATAAAGTCACCACCACGGACACCAACCCTGTACTTTATTCTTGGAGGAAATACAATGTTGGGACACTAGAGGTCTCCACCTTACCATATAACCAGTGACATCTCAGCGGAAAACCTTAAAAGCACAATTTCCACGGCAACAACAAACGGGCGTCTCATCCTTGAGGGTGGGAGGGGTGGGGGCTGAGGAGGGAAACTGGGGGAGGGTGGGGGCAGTTCCAAGCGGGTAGTTTCCGGTTGGGTGGATGTCACCGTGTTTTGCAAGACTGACTGAAATTTCGAGTAGGCTTTGCCGGACTTAGATTTTCCACTTGTTTTTCAGATTTATATCTTTGGTTGAGCATCCAAAGCTTCTTAAAGCCCGTAGCGCTGGAAAAAACCAAAGCAAAACAAAAATTCATAACGGTGTGCTGATTAGTGCATGCATCTGCAGAGAAATTCTCTTCCTGTGTGGATTTTGTTTTGATAATCCAAAATTCACGTCGAGGCAATGGAGTGATTGTTCTGACGTTCAGGATGCATTTAAAACGATTCCATGTGGGCGCTCAGACTCTGTTGATCCATCCACACTCAACCTGGTCCTCTTCCCTGGTGCCTGGCTAGGGCCCTGAGCTTCCGGTGTCACCTCCGCTGGACGATGGAGTGGCCAGGTGGGTGGCCAGGTAAACGGCCAGGACACGTGCTGGGAGAAGGCAAGCGATGAATTCTCTTAGTTGAAGTCCTTCCTCTCACCTACTAGTCATTCATTTCTAAATAGTTCGTGAATTCCATTTTAATTTTCTGTTTAATCTAGAAAATTTGCAAGTCTGCTCTAGACTTTCACGTGGAATGTTATCCCTCTTCTCCGGGCATTACTTCCTGATTATCGTCAGTAACTGCAGCCTTATGACTTACGGTTTGTAGAAGGTGTTGGTACTCTCGTTGGCCAGATTTCGTGCATAATGATGGTGCGCACCTACTGAACGTTCACCGTGTGGCACACACAAAGTGTTTCTTGTATGTTAACTCATTTAATCCTCACCAAACCCTGTGAGGTAAGGTACATTTTCAGTGTTTACTGACTTTAAAATTCTCTGTTTATTAGCTCAAGCTAGCGAATCATTATTTAGATCTCCCATACCTTTACTTATTTTTGTCTACTTTTTTTGATTTTGGAAAGGGGCATTTTAAGGCCTCCCATTATGGTGATGGAGAGATGGGGAGGCATCTAGGATGACCCCAAAGGTTTCCACCTTGAACTTTAGGGTGGAAGGGCAGTGAAGACCTTCCCTGCGGTGTGTATGGTACTTCAGAGTTTACACAAGATCTTTCTACCCCTCTGATTTTAAAATCCTTGCCTCTGAAGTGTTATGTGGATTCACTTTCTTTTTTTTCTTTTTTCCCTGTTCCTTCCTTCCTACCTTTCTTCTTTCCTTCTCTTTCAACAGGGTCATATTATTCATTTGAAATGCAATTAGATTGATTTGTGTTAGCTTGCCTGCAGTTGTAGATTTTTATCCCCTTTCTACTCTTTTTGGTTTAATTTTATTTTTATTTCGAGTGGGTAGAACACGAAGATGCTTTCAAGAGTCAAAACTGTACGAGAAGGTGTTCCCAGAGCAGTGCCACCTCATCCCTCACCCCCTTGCCCCTCGCAGGTGACTGACTTCACTGTTTCCTGTGTTCCTTCTTATGATGACAAGTAAACACATGCATAGGGCAGTCTTCGTCACTCTAAATACTGACCTGAGTTCATAAGGGACACTGCAGTGGAGGTGTCACGTCTCCAGGAAGAAACGACTGCTGACTCACGAATAGAAACAGCTCCCACTTCGGTAGAAAAGCCCTGAGCCTTATATCTAGTATCTCGTATCTCGTATCTAGGAGGATACTGGAGGCTGGTGAGGGAAAATGCGAAGAAGAGTGAGAACCAGGGTGGGACATTCCTGTGGACAGAAAGTGGAGCAATGGCAGGAAGTCCTGTGTGAGGGCCAGGTGGGAATGTGAAGCCCCCACCTGCAGGTGTGGTGGCTGCACTGGGCAGGAGCCACAAACCTCACTGCCGCCCTGTCCCAACACACCGCTGGCTTCACTGAGCAGTGGATGAAGGCCCTGTGGCTGCTGTATGAATTACCACAAACTGGGTGACTTAAAGGCAGCAGAGATTTACTCTCCCAAAGTTTTGGGGGCCAGAAGTCCAAAATCAAGGTGTGGATGGGGCCCAGCTCTCTCCGAAGGCTCTAGGGCAGGATCCTTCCTGCCTCTTCCGTGGCTGATGGCCGCATCAATCTGATCTCTGCCTTCTCTGCTCAGTGTGTGTGTGTGTGTGTGTGTGTGTGTGTGTGTGTAACCTTCCTCTCCCTTCTCTTATATCTAGTATTTAGATATAGATACTAGACACTACAGGGATTTAGGGCCCGTCTGTATAATCCCGGATGATCTCCTCTTGAGATCAGATCCTTAACTTAGTTACATCCTCAAAGACCCTCTTTCCAAATACAGTTTCACAAGTCACAGGTTCTGTCTTTCGAGGAAACACCACCATCCAACCCTCTACATAGCGTACTCATGTATTTTTAAATTCACCCTGTTAAGATGGGAATTCGTACGTGGGATTGAGAAAGAATTCTCAATACAAAGATTAGGACATAAAGAAGTAAAAAATTTATTTTGTTTTCTGAGAGAGAGAGAGAGAGAGAGATGATCTCATGACCTCCACCCAGACAATTCCCTTGGCCATCTTCTATGGCACAAGAACAAAAGACATTCCCCTGCCCCTTCTGACCACTGGCCTGCGGTCCTAGTTCTAGTTCTCCCAAAGGAGTGCAGGATGTTTTAGAGACATAAAACATTTTCACTGTTTTTTTTTTGAGCCATTTCTTCTGTTACATATTCCCCCCTTCCATATCTATGGGAGGAGGGTGACTACTCTGTTACAATGGGGGGCTCTTGACAACAGGAACAGGAAGATCCTAAGTGGATGAACTCCACGGGGTGCATGGGGCTAACAGGCTGCTGTGGAGCTGGGCAGAGGGGCCAGGACTGGAGATTTGTCTTTGAGATCCTCTGCCTTGGGTGGTCCCTGAAGGCAGGAGGTGGAAGGGGAAGGAGGAGGAGGAAGGGACCAGCGGAGGGGCAGTCCAGGTGGAGGGGATGAATGAGAAAAGTGCTGCCTTCGGGGTCCCAAAGGGGGAGGTCAGAGGTCAAAGTGTCCTTCCTTAAATAAATGCTACAGAAGGGACTGAGAACATTCCACAAGGGCTGGCAAGAAGTTAGTGAGGGAAATCAGAAATAGTTTACCCCAAATACGGCATTTTGACATGCAGGACTGGCTGAAGAAGCCTCAACGTCTCTCTGACTTTCCTGCCCCCTTAGACCCATTTAAATTCCAAAGGGAATTATTTACCAGTTAATCTCTGTTCCCCATCCGTTCCTCCTCAATAGTAATCCTTCATAGAATTCCTCTTTCCTTCTCCCATAACCCATTTTACCAGAAAGGCATATGAGCTTCTGAGCCCTGCTGGGAGTGGAATCTTCGTTTCTGAGGGTTCCCATGTATACACGTTAAAATAAATTTCACAGCTGTTCTCTTATGAGAAAATCTGTTTTATTGTAAGTTGACTCTTCAGTGAACCTTCTGAGGGTGAAGACCAAGTTTTCCCTCCGTCCCAACAGTAGCCTTGGAGGAGGCAGCGTCTGCAGAGAGGCCTGGGGATGGGGAAGGGGCCACACCCTCAGGCCACTCCTGCCAGAAATCTTGTTGGGAGGAGACAGGAATGTAAGGACAAGGTAACAGGCTCTATGAACAAATCTCAAGGACCCCTACGTGTTTTTTTAATAATCTTTCCTTGAACTAACTACTTGAACTTTTTGAGTTGTTCCCCAGAGATGGTGGAATTTTTACAAGATGAAGTTGAGACTCTGAAGGCCCTTGGGCGAGAGTCCTGGTGCCAGAGATCACCACCCTCCATGACCCGCCCCAGGGCCTGCGACCTGCCCTGTGCACCTGGCCCCTCCTTAAAAAGCCCAGGATCTCTTTCTCCCATTCTTGCAAAAGATGTCTGTCTTTCGCGTTAGAATTCCTTTCTTGCTTGGCAATCTTCGTTGTCTCAATAGTTGGATCTTTGTGCAGTGCGCAACTAGATCTAGTCTGAAACCCCCGTTGCGGTTTTGATAACAAAAATAATTAAGAATTATCTGAATTTCTCACCCATTTGGGATTTTTTTTATGCTTTCCAAAGTTTACAACATCAACTCAATATTTGCTACATTTTGATGATCAACATGACAGAACCAAGGTCTTGGGGTGGAGGGAGACAAGCAGGGAATTAAACTATTAAGAGGTGTCTGTCTTTGTTTTTTTAATTCCATTTTTACACATCCACCTCTTTCTCATTAAGTCACAACATTTAATCAAAATATACAAACAGCACAGATACTTTAAAAACACATAGTTAGAATTCCAATTCAACACGATTGACCACAGCCAGTAGCAGGCATGGAGTGTTTGTCTTGAATGATGCCTCAGGAGGGGCTTACGAGTCATCAAATCGTCAGTCATGGTATGACCAGGGGTTGGTTTTCTTTTCTCTCCGAAGAATCATGCACTTTTCCTTTTCTTCTCCTCACCATGTGAGGACGGTAATGAATGACTGCGCTGATATTGAGGTCAAAGAACAATGGATGGATGGAAAGGTTTTCCTGGCAAGAGGGAAGTGACACTATCTTTGTTGAACTCTAAATTTGAGGTCTATCTTGACAAGAGAACCAGCGTAGGTGTTCTAGCCAAACTTCCCAATCAGGGAAGCTTTTCCCGTTTTTCCATTTTCCTCTCTCCCGTGAATTTCACAGCTAATCAGAATGAATGGATTTGTAAATCTTAAGTTACAAGCTATGTTTATTGTGAAGAATTCCCATAAAAACCTATTCAGGGCTGTCCCCCTAGCCATTTACACTTCCACAGATATAAACAGGATAAAACGGGTGAGTGGTTACTCGTCTGAGGCTGCGTGAGATGCGCCACCAGGTACGCCAGGCGACGGGCTGTTTCAGTCTGGAGACATTTGTGTTCAGTTTGCTCCTCCATTCGCGGAACATCCCATTGCTCAGCAGTTGGGGCCCGAGTGAAGAGCCACCATTGAGAGCAGTATTGAGTTTTCAAATTTCCCAGTGTGGAGAACCATCGTTCAAGTAAACAACTAGGGTTAGTCACGACCTAACTTGGAGAGTGTCGGGAAACGTGCCAAGAGCTACAACGCAGGGCGCAGTCTTTAGTGAAGTAGAGTTGGTTTCTGCTACAGGTAAACGGTCGGGCGAGGGGCTAACGGGTCTCGGCCTTTACTGTTGAGTGTTTCTTTTCTTTTCCAAGTTGAAAAAGGAACCCAAGAAGTGTCAGTCTTGGACCAGTTCCCAGAGAGAAGGCCAATGCCTTCGCGTTCCTGGGGAGGCGAGGTTCAGGAGATGAGCCGCTCCATGCCCGGGTTGACGAAGGAAAAGTTCCTGAACATGTTCTGGTCCATGCTGTTGATCAGGGCTCGGTCGGCGAACGACAGCCGGGGTTTCTCGTTTAAGAATTCCTTGTCGAAGTTGCTGCAGTCGTACGGTGATTTCTTGGTCGCGGTGTAAAGGGGGAAAAAAAAAGAGAAGAAAATGAGCCGCTAAATTCATGATCTTAACTTTTGGTGTCCAGGTCTAATTTGTGTACAACAGAGTTGGTGTTTGCAGATAAACTAAGCGTCTGCCTTTTCTGGTGTAGGTTTGTGACTTTTGCTAGCAAGTCTGTACGTGGGAATTTAGAGATCTATCTTTTTCTAAGCACTGACTTACTTATTTTTTTCCTTAAGCCAAAGAACACCTAACCATTGCCATTAGGGGACGTAGTTACACGAACACATTGCAGATGGTATTGAACTTTAATAAACATCATTTAAAAATGGCTCCAAAATTCCTGACATAGGATGCAGGGTTTATGCACAAGTTTGGGTCACCCAGACTGTGCCCATTGAGCATGTGTGTGCCACGTGCAAAGCTCCATCTCATCTGATAGTCACCCTCACAAGTACGTATTTGACCTAAGGCAGGTGCACGCAGCATTCTTCATGCAGGTGCGTCCTGACTACACACAGAGGTTCAATTTCATAAACAGACGTAACCTCCCCACCTCCCCGCCAGCAGCCCAGTAGCTTGTATGAGCCAGAGGGTGGGGCAGGGTGGGGGCAGGCAGATGGCCCGGCTAAGCCAAGGCCCTCGTGGCAAGTCCTTACCACTTTAGGCCGGAATGGTGGGTCGATCTCCTTCCGCTCAAGTTCTTCCCAGTTGATCTCCCGAAACAAAGGGTGCTGGCGGATGTCTCCCCGCACACCCAGCCTCTTCTCGGGTTCTCGCACGAAGAGCTGGAGAGGAGAGGAGAGGAGAGAAGGAGCAGGTTACTTCTCCCGGGAAAGCCAGCTCGCCTCCTTAGCGCGCTAACCCACGGGTTTCCTGACCTCACCTTTCTACTAACCTTCGCAAAGACTGACCCAAGTCAGGCTGGCCCCGACGTGCACCCTGAAGGAGGCTTTCAGAATATTCTGGAGTCTGGGCTTTTGCCCCCTTGCTCTGTGCCCTTACTGTGCTACCTTCTGAGTTTCACAGACTCAGTTTGAAATCAGCTTTGCCTTGGGTTACTTACGAGACCTCTGGCGAGTGACAGAACCCTGAGTCAGTTTCCTCGCCTGTAAAGTGAGCCGAGAGCCCTCCTCACAGAGCTGATCTGTGGGTGAGTGAAATTGCAGCGCACACACGCATGCGCACATGCACACGGACAGGTACGCACACACGTGAATGTACAGGAACAAATGTGCACACGTGCACATTACATACACATACATGAACACATGCACAGTTACACATGCACACACGAGTGTACACGAACACGTGTGCATACATATGCACACGGGCATACATGAATATGCACATACATGAACACACAGAGACAGGCACACATGCATACACAGGAATGCACATGAACACGCGCACACAAACACATGCACATGTGTGCATACATGTACATGCACACTTCTGTGCACTATAACTCCTGGTCTCTAAAACCCCACAGCACAGAATAAGTGATCCATTTATTTGCCATTTGATCAGTGGTCTGTCAGTCGAGTATGATTTCTCACTAACTGCCTTCCCAGGAGTCCAGCGTTGTGAGGACTTGGCCATGATATAAACTGGTCCCAGACAGTCAGCTTTGGACTTTACGAGGCATCTGAGCAAAGACAATTCCTTTTGCCTCCTGCAAACATGCTGGGCGCGTAATATTTCACTCAAAGTCCATCTCTTATCACCTCTGAGCTGGGACCTGCATACGTTCCTCTTTGTACATCTCTCTCTCCTGTTACTTTCCCCTAGAAGGTCAAAATGAACATTTGCAAGACAGGAAAGAAACTTGGAAACTTTTCAAGCTTAAATAAAACCTGCCAAGGGCAAGAAGGAACAGGAGAGTCTGAACGTTAACTCAGGAAGGTAACGGTTCCCCTGGGCGTCCGGGGTAGGCATCCACTGTTCCCGCGTTGGCGAGATGTTTGTTTATGAAGTAACCCCGAGTTACAGGGTGTTTTAAGGAGGCTGTGGATCTTTACAGCAAAAGCGTGGTGAAATGCAGTGATTTTTCCAGGAGGCTCTGAAAAGGGCTTCACTTCCCTTCACCTCTGAATTGCAATGGTCTCGTCTTTTTACCGTGTATAAAAATAGCTAGTCTGCGTGTTCTAGAACACCGATGCCCTTACATTACCTTACTACTCGAAAATCTTCAAAGGCTCTACGCTGCCAAAAAAATGAAGACCAAACAATGTGCTGTAGCAAAGTGGAGATTTTTTTCTTTCTTTCTGTTTTTAAAGTAGGAGAATCTCTATTAAAGTTCCCAGTGAAATGTTCATGCAAACACCTGGTATATCCGACTGGTAAATCCCTGGCTCTGCCCTCTCTCCCCCTCCCGCCTTGGGCGCCGCCAAAGACTCTCTGTGGGAAGCTGGTTCTGAAGCATCCGGTCAGGAAACCGCTGCACAGTGGAAACCACACAAGACATTGTCCAAGAGATTTGCTACCCACACGGCCTTGGGTAAGTTTTCTGAATCTCAATTCGTTCATCTATAAAATGAAGGGTCAGATGATCTTTCAGGCCCAGTGAGTCCTGGCGTCCTCTGGCCCCTTGGCTGGCATTTGAGGCTCTCTGTCATCTGATGCCGACTCCCACGTCTCCGATTCTCATGGGAACCCTCTCCTGTCCAGACGTCCCTACTCCCTGAATACACCACCTGCCTTTCCTTCCTCTGCCCTCACTAAAGACATTTCCATCTTGCAGTGAGATACTCTCCCTGCAGCCCACTCCCATTTCCTTCTCCTTATCTTTAAATCCTGCCTTATCTTTCACTCCTCCCTCTCTGTGAAGCTATCTTTGATTACCTCTGTGGACAGTGAGCTCACTTTCTCTCCTCTTCGGATTGTATTCATGGTCCTATGATTGATGGCATCATTCACCCCAACCAACGTTCTTTGAGAGTCAGGCACCCTGCCACATGCCTCAGCTAGATCATCCTGGTTTTGAAAACAAATTCTAAAAGCAGGTATCATTATCCCAATTGTCAGCTGAGGAAACTGAGGCTCAGAGTGGCCGTGTAACTTGCTCAAGATCGTAATCTGGCCAGTGGTGGAACCCACGTGGGAAGTGGGCTCTTTCCCGCTTCTCGCATTGGGTGGTCTCTCCTCTGTGCCACAGAAGGTCCTCCCTCCATTAGAGAAATCAGCACGTTGGATCTTTTTTAGAGTCCGTTTTTCTTACTAGGCTGTAAGCCCTGGAGGTCAGACACCCTTTCTTTTCTTTTCTTTTTTTTTTAATTTCAGAATAAATAAAATGTACGGGGGTACAGACATTTTGTGTAAATTCCTTTTGTACCATTTGAGTCAAAGTTATAAGTGTGCCCATCCCCCAGATAGTGGGCATTGCACCTGTTAGGTGTGAATTTACCCATTCCCTCACCCCCTCTTCCACCTGCCTGATCCCCGATGAATGTTACTTCCATGTATGCACACAAGTGTTGATCGATTAGTTCCAATTTGATGGTGAGTACACGTGGTGTTTGTTTTTCCATTCTTGTGATACTTCACTTAGTAGAATGGGCTCCAGTTCCGTCCAGGATAATGCAAGAGGTGCTAGGTCACCATTGTTTTTTATGCTGAGTAGAACTCCATGGTATACATATACCACATTTTATTAATCCACTCATGCATTGATGGACACTTGGGTTGTTTCCACATCTTTGCAATTGTGAATTGTGTTGCTATAAACATTTGAGTGCAGGCGTCTTTTTTACAGAATGTCTTTTTTGCCTTTGGGTAGGTGCCCAGTAGTGGGATTGCTGGAGCACATGGTAGTTCTGCTTCTTACAGAATCTAGCCCAGTGCCAGGCCCTCTGTGGATACCATGACTGTCTGTGGAGTGAGTGAGCAAGCTGTCTTTCCTCCTTATCTGCGGGGCATGAGTCTTCCATGCTCATCTTCTCTCGGCCTCCTGCTTTCCGCATAAAAAGGAGGCACCACGTTCACAGTAAGATATTTCTCTGTTGACCCCAAACCCGTGTGAGTCAACAGACTGAAACGCAGATCCGTCTTTTAGAAGTGGAGGGAATGAGTGACCTGCCTCACTTCTCTTCTCTCGAAACGATGATAATAAACGGTTAACCTCCATTTCTTAAGGACATTTTGATGCAACAAGGTTAGATAGAAGGTGTAAGTGTCTCAAGAATGGGACAAAATTAGCTCATGTTGTTCTACTGAAGTTTCAGGAAGTGAAGTTAGAAATAAGTGCCTCGGGCCAAGTAAGCACCATGCTGGGTTTTCCATGCGATTTTTGTGCACATGTGGCATTTGTACCCAGGGGATCATGACAAAGAGCCTCCTGAGCTTAGTATATGTACCCGTGACATTTAACGGTTAACCTCCATTTCTTAAGGACATTTTGA